ATGCTACACAGGAGCTCAGCCATTAATTAGATTTCGATCTGAGACTATTTTTTTGGTTGAAACATACATTCTCTTTCTTTGTAGATTATATTTCAGTGGCTTAGTAGATTGTTAACTGCTCAGAGAAGAAAGTGAGTTATGCATTTTAGACATCATTCTTAATAGTTTGGTAATCTGTTCCCATTATTTCTGCAATATTTACTACAGTCCTCAGAGGCAGCTCAGTACTATTATACCCATCATGCACAGTGGAAAGCTGAGGCTGAGAGAGAGGCACCTTCCTTATCTAGGTTCACCCAGCAAAATAGTGGCCTTCCTAATTCACAGTTCATTTTCCTGATCCTGGCCTTACAGAGTTTGGGAAAGTTCCTTTTTTTGGATAATTCTGAATCCCCTAGCCAGCTTGGGAGTTGGGAGATTCTGGGAGCTGTTATCCAAAAATCTAAGTTTGCTGAGTCCTGCCCTGGGGCCATGCTGGCTGGGGATTCTGGGTGTTTTTGTCCAAATACCAAACTTTTCTGAACTTTTTCTAACCTTCCTGTGCTCTTTCCTGGGGCCATACCAGTGAGGGGATTCTGGGAGCTGTTATCCCAAAACCTAACTTTTCTGAGTTGTACCTGGGGCCAAAGCAGATACAGCAGCCATGCTCGGTGGTAGATTCTGGGAGTTGTTGTCCAAAACCCAAACCTTTCTGAACTTTTCTAACCTTCCTGAGCTCTTTCCTGGGCCATGCTGGTGGGGGGATTCTGGGAGCTGCTGTCCCAAAACCTAACTTTCCTGAGTTCTACCCTGGGGCCAAAAAAAGATACAGCAGCCATGCTGGGTGGGGGATTCTGGGAGTTGTTGTCCCAAACTTTTCAGAATTTTTCTAACCTTCCCGACCTCTATCCTGGAGCCATGCTGATGCAATGGGAGGATTCTGGGCCTTGTAATCCCCCAAAGCAACCTCTCTGACCTGAAGAGACCCACTGCCTGCATCTCCCCTTGCCCTGCTTGCCCTCCATCTCTGAGATCATCATCCCTTTTCTCCCTCCCTCCCTCTTCCTGGGAGTAACCCAGTGGGTGCTGCTGGCAGGCGGCTGGAGGCGGCTGGCTGGCTGAGTCACCCTGAACCGGATGCGCCGCAGCCCTCGGCTGGGCTTGGCCGGGTGCCCGGGTGCCCGGGTGCTCGCCTCAGCTCTGGCTCTGTTGACTGCCCTGCGGGGTTTGCCTGCAGCTGGTCTCTCATTGCACAAGCCCCGCTGATGCAATGTGCAACCGGCTGGCTTTGCAGAGCCGCTTCCTCCTTCCCACACCCCCTGCGCGGCATCCCCAGGCAGGCCTTTTGAGAGTGATGCAAGGCAAGAGCCAGCCAGAGGCCTTCCCTTCCCCAGGGAGACCCTGCGCTCTGCCTCATCCGCCTCCAGCAGCACCTGGGCCTTTGTGGGTTGATGGTTGTCAACCCAGTCAAACTCGACCCATGGCGGCCCTGCGGTTGAGACATCCCCAAGAACCCCTGTCCTCCACTGCTCTGCCCAACGCCTGCAAACTCATACTTGCAATCTCTTTAATAGAGTCCATCCATCTAGCATGCAGTCTTCCTTTCTTTCTTCTTCTCTGCGCTTTTCCTAGGATTATTTTTCCCCCCACTGATTCATGCCTTTTCATAATGTGTCCAAAGTACAACAGCCTCAGTTTTGTTATCTTGGCTTCCAGGGAGATTTATGCCTTGATCTGTTCCAAAACCCATTTCTTTGTCTTTTCGGCCATCCACAGTATTGCACTCTTCTCAAATGCATTGATTTTCCTCCTATCTTCTTTCTTAACTGTCCATCTCTCACATCCGTCCTTGGTAATAGGGAATGCAATGGCTTGTATGATTCTAGCTTTTGTGCTCAGTTATATATCTTTGCATTTCATAATATTTTTTAGTTCTTTCATATCCGTTCTCCCCATTCTTAATCTAATTTCCTGGCTGCAATCCCCATTTCTATTAATGTTTGATCCCAGGTATGAGAACTCTTTTAATATCTCTATTTCTTCATTATGTTCATTGAATTTGTATAGATTGTCCAAGGTCATCATTTTTGTTTTCTTGATATTCAACAGTAAGCTTGTCTTTGTACTTTCTTCCTTGATCTTCCTTAGTAGGAGTTCCAGATCTGTGAGGTTTTCTGCTAGTATTACGGTGTCATCTGCATATCTCAGATTGTTGATATTCCTTCCTCCTGTTTTCACTCCTCCTTCTTCTGTGTCCAAGCCTGCTTTTCTTACAAAATGTTCTGCATATAAGTTGAAAAGGTAGGGTGATGAGATGCAGTTTTGTCTGACCCCTTTGCCAATTGGGAACCATTCAGTTTCTTGTAACCTGGTTTAAAGTGTCTAGATCACATAGTGTGTAGATCAAGGGAAGTAATAGTGCCGCTCTATTCTGTTTTGGTCAGGTCCCACCTGGAATAATCCTGTGTCCAGTTCTGTGCACCACAATTCAAAAAGGATGTTGAGATGTTGGAGCATGTCCAGAGGAAGGCAACCAAAAGGGTGAAGGGTCTGGAAACCATAAAGCCCTATGAGGAGCGACTTAGGGAGCTGGGGATGTTTAGCTTGGAGTAGAGAAGATTAAGGGGTGATATGATTAGCCCTGTTTAATATTTGAAGGGATGTCATATTAAGGAGGGAGCAAGCTTGTTTTCTGCTGCTCCAGAGAATAGGATCCGGAACAATGGATGCAAGCTACAGGAAAAGAGATTCCAGCTCAACACTAGGAAGAACTTCCTGAAGGTAAGAGCTGTTCAGTAGTGGAACACACTGCCAAGAGGTCCATTCACACTATGAATTAACCTGGTGTGGAACCCGAATTGGAGTTCATGTTGGCCCTGCACTGGGTACAATTTGGGGGGGGGGGAAGCACAAAAATACCCATTTAACCCAGTGCATTCTGCATCAGGTCCTTTGCTGCTGTTGCTGCTGCTGCTTCTCCTTCTTCTTCTTCTTTGTCCCACAATGATCTGGATCTTCAGTAGTGCGAATGCACTACCGGATCAATCCAGATCATGCAGACCGTTCCTCTTTCTTCCTCGTACCCTGATCTTCCTCCTTCCTCCTCTTCCTCCTGGCCTTGACTGCTGCTGCCGCTGCCACTTTCCTCCTCCTCCTCCTCCTCTGATCTTTCCTCCATTGAAAGACAGCATGGTACACTGGTTTGAGCATCCAGCTATGACTCTGGAGACCAGGGTTTGAATCCTGGCTCACCCATGGAAACCCAATGTGTGACCTTGGGCGCATCACACTCTCTCAGCCTCAGAGGATGGCAATGGCAAACTCCATCTGAACAAACTTGCCAAGAAAACCCCATGATAGGTTTGTCTTAGGGTCGCCCAAGTTGGAAATGATTTAAAGGCACACAACAATAACAACAACAACAAAGAGCCCTCCTACAGACCACCAGCCTCCAGGGGCCTTTCAGCTCCGGCCCACCAAGGGGCAAAGGGGGCCCATTCAGACCGCACATGTGAACAAGCAACCAAAAATTCGATCATGGAAAACTAGTGAGAACTAGCAGCCAGATCGATTCGGGATGGCATCACCAAGAAGACCCCTGATCTCTGCGGTACAAAATTGTAAGTGTGAATGGGCCCTAGGAGCATGGTAGAGTCTCCTTCTTTGGAGGTTTTTAAACAGAGGCTGGATGGCCATCTGTCCATGATGCTTTGATTCTGTGTTCCTGCTTGGCAGAAGGCAGTTGGACTGGATGGCCCTTGGGGTCTCTTCCAACTCTATATGATTCTATGAAAAGCCAGCAGTGCAGCAGAAAACTTCACTTGGTTGCACACCTCTGTCCTCATTCCCATTACGTTATAACCCAGTTTGCTAATTGGTTTGAAGTGGTTTAAATCACCCTTGTTCACACTTGAGCCGAATCGCTGAAACGGTTTGGCGAGGGGGGCCCTGCGCTAGACCCATTTAACGTATGTCTTTTTGACACTCTTTTTTTTTCCGTGTCTGTTTCAATAAATCAATTAAACACAAGTGTGAATGGGATGCGGGTTGGAATCGATTTAAATTTGCCCTTTAAATTTTCCGGCCAGCTGAAGAGGATCCATTTTGAATCTATTAATTAGTCAATTTGAATGACAAATGGGTTATTTTACAACAAGAAAACGTGATTGGGGTAGGGTTGCCATATCCTGTTTTTTCCCGGGACAATCCTGATTTTTCAGTCTCTTTGGGATGTCCTGCCCGGTTTTAGGATCATGTCCTGGCTGGCGATCCAGGGTGGCAAGGTCTCCCTGACCCTGGTGCAGCTGCGCAGGGCCTCAGCCGCCCAGCCAAGCAAGCCCCAAAGACATCCAGGGGGTGAGGCTCCCTGGCCTGGCTCCATGGGACCTTGGCCGGCCAGCCAAGGTATGCGGAGGTCCAGGGTGGCGTGGCCTTCCTGCCACAACTGCGTGGGGCGATGGCCGGCCAGCCAAGCCACGAGGAGGTCCAGGGTGGCGAGGCGTTCCTGCCATGGCTGCGCGGGGCCTCAGCTGGCTGGCCGAGACCCAGGAAAACCCAGGAGATCCCATCCCCAAGAGGATCCAGCCCCAAGATTTATATTATATTTATATTAATGTTTTATTATATTTATATTTAATGTTATAGTAATGGGTTTTTTAAAATTTTAGTAATGATTTAGTAATGATTTAGTAATGAGAATTATGGGAACCCTAGATTGGGGGAAATGTAGTGTGAACCATGCTCCGCTATCCAACCAATCCATCAATCCGGATCACATTCTTTGCAAGTGGGAAGGAGGCCTCTGGACGTTATAACACATGGGCCAGAAAACGATAATAAAGTGGAAATGAGGCATTCCGAA